AGCATAATGCTACTGTGCTACGTATGATGAATGACGAAAAGCCCTTTTTACTAATAACAAAGAATTCCATTTTAGCCTTCAGGATCGTCACTTCTTAACGCATCTTCATTTTGATTCTTAATCTAGGATAAATATAGATGTCAGGTGACCTTTATGCTAGTTTGTGTTATCTTTACTTGTATGAAAAAAAATTATAGAATTTTATCATGTTGATTTCTGGAGTAAATAAATTTAAAGTTGTTACGCTACGAGTAATTAGAATTTTTTTAAATGCTTGATCTTCTAGTCGTACTTCAAATAGTGATTTGTTTATCTATAATTAAACTTTGTTCGCATATTAACTAACAGGAACTCCGTGTTTGACCTTTCCTTTCATCAATATTAATATAATAAGGATACGTCCATTTACTTTTAACGTTATTTACAAACAATCTAAAAATAACAGTTTAAATAATTTCAAAATAAAATCTGACTGTAGGGACTATCAGTTCGTGAGTTTCTAATGTTCGCCACTGGACTGTTGCAGATTAAACAGAAAAAAAGAGATAAATAGCCATTTAATTATTTCTTGTTACTTTGGCTCATAACAACACTTAGCTGTATTGTTGTGGCCAGATCAATTCGTATCTCGCCGTTGGCGCCACAAAAGTCTATCATAAAAATAGGAAGATAACATTACCGTATAAGTATAACAACCTCGTGCAGGCTATATGTAGAAGTCTAAAGCAGTAAGGGAAAGCTGCGTTGAAATTCTTCAACAAAACTTCAACTTCCAATCGTGGGAACTAGGGCAAATCTTTCTTTAATAAAAACAAAAATTTTACAAAAATTTCTTGGGCGTTAATTGGGAGATTTAAAAAATATTAGAGAAAAATATTAGATTATAGTGAAAGAGAATACCGGAGAAATATTTCTCTAAACAAAGTATTTCTCTTAAGTAACTTGATCTTCATCTAATTAATCAAATGATTGTTAAAATTTAATTAAAAACCCGAGATAATTGCTTCTTCATTATAATCACCATACTGATAATTTCTCGGCAATTACATTTTCATAATATTAAATTATTATTCTATAAAATATCAACCGAAGATAAGGAAAAGTAATGAGTCAGAAATTTATAAAGTACAAAATTGTTCAAATAGCACAAAAGCTAACATAAGGCACGATATTAAATTTGTTTCACGTTCTGAAAATCTCGCTAAGCTTCCGTGCCGTATCGTTTTTGAAATAGAAATCCAAGTCATATTTGAAATTCGAGTTATTATATAGGTTCGCTTAAATTGAGATATAACTTATATTATATCTAAGGGATGGAACAAACTTCTCTCCTTGGTGACATTAATTTTAATAATTTCTATTAAAATAAAGCATTTAACGCGGTAATTTGTGGTCTTTCAAATCTGATGTAATGGTAAAGGCGATCCTGCATGTGTTCATAAACTGCAGACTTCCCGGAGCTTCTTCATAACTGTTGACAGATGATTCGTATATGTCCACAGAATGATTGTTACACTTAATTCTTCAGGTGTATTTAAGAATATCCTAAATAACTTTGCAATATCTTAGTACTTGTGTTCCCTATGCTTATATGTACCGTGGATTAGTGTATCATTCGCTTCTAGAATCTGTTCTCTTTTTAATGTATCCTGTTTCTTGTGATCGCTGCTATGTCCTGTGAACAGCAGAAAGACTAACTTTTAACCAGCTAAGCACGTAACATTAACTGCAGTATTCTTCTATTTACTTCTTTCGTTCTTAATCTTTATCTTATCGTCACCATTTTAAAAGATATTGATTTTAATTTTAAAATAGCTCCTAAAAATTCTAAATTTTTTTTTAAATACAACAAAGCAAAGCTTGCAATCAAGCTAATTTATTTATAAAAGTTGGTGGAATCAGAGTGAGAAATCTTTCTGACGTTTTATTGCCCGTCATTTTTGCTTCCGTGCATAGTGTCAGTGATTTATGAAACAACTTTTAAATAGAAAAGTAGATCTGTGCTTTGTAGCACAGGCATGACAGACATGGCAAACACCAGAGACCACATGACAGACATGGTAAACACGAGACACCTCTAATCCAGAGAGAAATATCAACTGGAAGTTTACCCAAAAGACGGTGGGATATTCCATTGTTACGAAGTGTGTAGAAAGATTTTTTTCATAGTTTCCATAGTAACCAAGACAATCAAGAAGTCTTGGCACATTATTTACGAGGTAATCTAAGCCTTTGGTGTTTGGCTCCCTTGTAAAAAACCGATGTTTTCCGGAGAGCTCCTGTCTCTATAACAGTTTTCTCGGGTTTAGAGCCGCGTGAACTATTTAGAGACGATGGCAGAAGACCCGACGTTATGATTTCGATCCCCTGTGAGTTACAGCCCTAGAATGCGATGTAGGTAGGAACTTTAGTAACCTCTAATCTCAGGAGCATCTCGGTTTAGAGCTGGGAAGGCGTCAGAGGCGTCTCTACTTAGTATGCGTCCTTATATATATGTGCGATTTGCTGTAGAAACTATTGGTCCGTGGAGTCTATGTGTGGAGTAACTTCTAAAGGTAGCTGTATTCACGAATTGTCGCCGCTGGTGATAAATAAATAATTTTTTCACTCAAAGGTTTAGTGTAGGAATTCAGGAAAGGCAGCCAGCGTTCTTGGCACTATACCGCGGGGGTACGTACACGTAACACGTATCTAATATAGGACTGATAATTGAAGTTTTTGGTTTTAGTTTTTTTTTTAATTACGGTAATAAATATTGTATATTTTGATATTATGTGAATAAATGTAATAAACTAAAAGCTAATAATACTCCAAAATTTAATAGACGTCAGCAAACATTCGATACGGCTCTCGCCACTCAAATTTATTTTCCCAGTGTAAATTAATTTACTTTTTATATATACGTAATTCGATTTTGAACACATTGTCTTATGTAAATATGCTAGGATATTTTTGTTATATTTCAGTAATATTAAGTTTTTAGGCTGGATTTAGTGCTATGCGGACGGTCCGTACGGACGACCGTCATCCGGAGCTATCGTACAGAAATCAATTACTGTGTTTAGTTGAACACGGCCTGCGGAGAGTCCGTCCATCCGGAGGAAAATAATCCGTCGAGCGCGTCCGTGCTCCGGACGTCCGCATCAGGACGCGCTAGGGACCTGTGTGCGGGACTGTCAACAACGACAATGTCTGCGGAGAATCTAGACACGGAACGTGTCATAACAGACGTCCGAGGTCAACCATCATTATGGGTTCTTAGCGATATTTTGTATAAAGATCGTGATGCGAAACTATAAGCGTGGACAGAAGTATGCCGAGCATTGTTTCCTGGTTATGATGATTTACCAGATAAGGAGAAACAGGAAATTGGTAAGTACATACAATAGTATGGTATATTGGTACTATGTATTGGTAGGTACAATCCGCGAGGTCTGCTTGCATTTGCGTGAGTGCACATACCTACATAGTGTAGGTGTGATGTCGCCCTAGAGTGCGACACGTCCTTTGCTTGGTTTGAACCGGTTTATACTGCTTTTTGCGATCGGCCCGAGGCGCACTCACACAAACGCGAAGCTCAGAGACCTCGCGGACTGTACATAGATATCATTGAGTAAAACACGCTCATTATTTATATCATTTAATTACTTTATTGAAAATTTTCGTATAGGTAATAAATTAAAATATTGAATTATTTTGCCAAGGCACTGCACCTGCGGTAGATACAAAATAACTGGCGAATCTTTCTCTCAATGCGTCGCCTGATCTGACAATTATGTTATCATGGATGTTAAAATCTTGTAATCCTTCAATAATAAATGTATCCTCTTGTCTATAGCCATCTCGCTCTCTAGCGTAGTTGTGTAAAATACAACAAGTTTTTACGAGTGTAATCGTGTTCGGCAGAGACGTATTTATTGGTCTTTGAAATATTTTAAATTTATTTGTCATTATTCCGAACGTAGATTCAATATACCTTCTTGCACGACTTAACCTATAGTTAAAGATTTATTTTGTGAGTCATATTACTTCGTGCGTAAGGTTTTAATATTTTGTTCGATATACCGAATGCACCATCACCAATTATCACGTGCTGCAAAGGTGCTGCAGGAGGTAAATTTAATGTCCTGTTTTGCAATTTATTATACAAAGTGCTTTCTTTAAAAATTGTTAATCCGAGTCTGTTCCACAAGAACCTATATTTACATTTGTAAAACGATAGTCTGCATCGCACATTGCCAATAGAACGATAGAGTAATGTTTTTTGTAATTGGCAAATAAACTGCCACTGTTCTCGAGGCAAGTAATTCTCACATTTTTCCTATCGATTGCTCCAACGCAATTAGGAAAGTTAGCGTTCTGTTGAAATCCTGATGAGATTTTTAGCCATTCTTCCTGTGAACTAGGTATCGAAATACATTCTTGAAGCACTTGGCAAATGGTTGTGCATACTTCTTTGACGATGAGAGAGATTGTTGCAGTGCCCATCTGATAACTGAAGTAAAGATCTGAATATGTTTGTCCAGTCTTGAGGTATCTGAAAGGAATAACAACAAAATTAATTATTTGTTAATTGTTTCAGTAAAACAAGTACAACGACGGTGGAGAACTGCGCGTGACGCATATATGAAATGTAAAAATGCCAAAATGTGAAGTCTGGATCAGGTGGTGGGAAGAAATCCAAATACGTGTATTTTGAACACATGCAGTTTCTGGACAAAAAACATATTGTTGATACTATTGAATCTATTAATGAATGTCAAAATACGAATGAAACATGCAGCGTTCCACCATCTAGCCACTCTACACATAATCAATCTCAGTTGCGTTCAACAAGTCGAGATGCTGGTAATTTTTCAGGAATTACGCTTACCCCACCCACCATCTCTGCACCAAACTAAACTACATTTCAGAAAAACCAAAAAAAAAACGTAAAAACCGCGAGGATTCTGCTTTTGATAAAGAAATGTTGAATTTTTTTTAAAGAAAACAGTGAGATGATGAAAAACGACGATATGGCATTCTTCTCTTCCCTATTACCTATTACAAAATCATTCAACATTCGCCAAAAACTATTATTTCGGTCAGAAATACTTCGCAAAGCTATGGAAATTTCAAATAGCACTGCAGGTTTTCCCTCAGTGTGTGATCAAAATTATTTTTCCACTCGCCCTGTATCTACCTCACGCCCTGGATCTTCTACATCTACCTGTACATCATACACGATCACATCACCAGGCTCTCAAGAAGATGTAACGTTATACACAGTTGAAGAAACTGAAGCTCCAAATGCAAATGTAGCCTCTCAAATGCAGCTGCCTGAGCAGCAGTATTCATCGCAAGCATTGGGTAATTTTCCGCAAGAACCTATCGCTTCTCAAATGCAACTATCTGAACAGCAGTATTCATGAAGATGGTTCCGAGACCCTATCGCTTCTCAAATGCAACTATCTGAACAGCAGTATTCATCGCAGGCAGTAATTAATATGTCTGATTTTATTACATTTAAGTGATTTTTCAGTAAGCACCTACCACCAATATAATTATAGGTAAGTAAAATAAGTAAAAGAAACAAATTAAATATTAAATTGAGTTTCTGGAGTATTCCTTTTACATCCTGTATTTAATTAAGAACAATAAAGGGCGCACTTACCTTAATGTTACGGCCAATCTTTCAGTTGGATATACTGTAACTCTAAACATATTATTATGTTTGATATAATCTTGAATTTTTACTAGGAGTTCATCAAAGCTGTTAATTGACATTCCAAAATAATCGAAAAAATTTTCGTCAAAATTTCGTAGTTTCGAATACAATTTATGAAATTCTCATGGTAATTCATTATCCAGGGTGAACATGGTATCTTATCCTTTTCTTCTTTTTATGTAACTGCCTTAGGTAGTAGGCAGCAACTACGGTGTTTAAAAACGGATACATTTTCTGCGCGACGTTACTTGTCCGAGCCGTACGTTGCTCCGTAGAGCACTAAACGGTCGACCGACCGAATGCTCCGTATACGGACGGTCCGTACGGTCGTCCGTACGGACCGTCCACATAGCACTAAATCCAGCCTTATTAGCCGTGTATTTGCGGTGGGAGGCGATGGAGGGAAACAAAACAAAAGAGGCCTATATTCAGCAGCGGACTTATCATAACAGTAAATTATTATTAACATATTTTTTATATCAATCTAATAAAGAAAAAATTGTTACCGACCGTTTTTGAAAAGGTTTATTTTGTAAGATAAGCAATTAGTAAAAGCTTAATTGGTAACAGAGTTTTGTATCACAATATTTCAAAAGACCTTTTTTTATGATAGCGTACTTAATAACTTAGTATGAAAAGTATAAGAATTTTCTTTTCATATTAAAGTTTTCCTCCAAGTTGACAACGAATCTGTTATCCCTATTCCCTAGCGTTAAAGTGTATTGCAGAAGTTAATGGCCTGCAGTATCTACTCATACACTAAGCCATTGGACAGGTACTAAAATTAAAGCATTCAATTTATTTGAGATCGTAAGTTCAAATGCCGCTATTCGACCAATCTGAACTATCCTAACACAAGAACCTTAGTTGAAGTGATTTTCAGATATTATATTAGTAACTAGCTGATATCCGCTCGCTACGCTTGACGCACGATAGTATTTTATTGCGGAATCTAGATGTAGATATCAAGAAATTTTTTTGATAGGACTATCACACTGTGTGTGTGTGTGTGTGTGTGTGTGTGTGTGTGTGTGTGTGTGTGTGTGTGTGTGTGTGTGTGTGTGAGTACATTATATTGTATACAAAAACATAGCAAGTAATATCTGGTATGAACAATTTATTAGGTATAATGTGTTTAAAAGTATTTGAGACGAAATGTAAATAAAATAATGTTAAGATGTATTATAGTAGTAGTGAGTATGAGTGTTTCAAAAAATAAATATAAAATAAAAATAAACAGTTCATAATAATATGTAAATGGGCTGACATTTATGAATTTTCACAGACTGTTTCAGACAACGACATTCAAACTTATTGCTGCTATTGCACTTTTGGTATATTTTTATTCAGTGACCTGTGTCTTCAAATGGTAGATTGAGGTAACTAGCAGAAAATCTGTATTATTAGTTCTGTAGTTTATTTTATTGTATCAAATATAGTGAAAACTGTAGTAAGTATATAATATAATCTGGGTATTATTTTATTGTGATGGATTGTCAGAAAGTATTGGTCAGAAATTATTTTATTATAGCTTAAATAAATATGTGATGGATAGTTATACTATTATACTAAGCTTGGTGATAGTTTCCAAATACCGTGGGAATTGGGGTGGGATACTGTTACAGCTTATTAGAGGCCACTGGTGAACATATGCCTCCCTGATTGTCTCATATGGGACATATTTACCATAGTTGTCAAGCTTGGCATGGGTGATAGCAACCGCAGTTTTTTAATTTTTAGTCTTTATTAGGAAGACGCTGCTGCCCGTCTCCTGATTTACTTCCCTTTGTCCTCTTACGACACCCACGTGGTTATAGTGACACCCACGTGGTGGGGTAGTGGATATTCTTACACGGCCACTGCACGGTAAGAGAAAGTGTAAGTAAATTCCGAAGGAAATATTATCACTCGTTCAAATTCAAGTTCATTTATTTGCCAGAATGTACGTGTACAATAAAGTATGATCTTAAATTATGTCTAATGGCCCATTTACATTGTAACACTTTATATGGTATACAAATATTTTATAGGTATACATGCAAAAAAAATTAAACAACGTTCTAAGATTAGTGTAGTGCTCATGCCCGGGCTTTACCCATCTGCAATGTAATGCTAGCCTAGATTGGAACATTCAATTAAAGACACACGGGGATAACCGCAACACATCCAGACTTTGGAAATCAAATTTGCGTCTTTAAACAAATGCTTGGACTAGGATCAACACCTGGACCCGTAAAATAGTGACCAGGTATTCCGTCTATCTGCTAAGAAAGTATAAAGATAAAGTAAGTTCATTGTGTCATATTTTGCTTATATAATTCAGCGGTCTAAAACCGAAATATATACAGGTTTATTTTGCAATAACCGGCCAAATTTGTAGAGAAGATTCAGAATAAGTAATATTATGTAGTACTAATATATAATACGTAAACGGTAGGGGAAAATTAATTAAAAAATCTCAGACATTCTGTCCTTTATATATATTTAATTCGAAATGGGTGGTAATCCATTACATTAACTGATTTTACTTTTATTTGTAAAGTTAGTAAGTTAGTTTAGTTGTAAAGGTCGATTGGTAAAATCTGTCGAAAACAATGTGGGCCAGAAATCACATTCAATTCGGGATAATTTCAAATAAAGGAAGAAGACTTATTTACTTATATTTTCAAAAACTGCAATAACGGTATATCATTATTTATATATTTGAACTTAGCTTTAAAATTTGGCTACTGTTTGAAAAATAAACCATTAATTAACCAAAAATATACACTATAACCTTCTGCCGATTTAGGGAGAATTTGCTGTAATAGCCACCTTAGAAGACGATTAAGAGATCGCAATACTAGACTTTTCACATCTTTGACGCTTCTTTCCAATGATGGAAAGAACTCTACGTAAAAATAAAGAAGCCGTCATCGGCTTCTTTATTTTTACGTAGAGTTCTTTTGAACGAGTAGAGTTCTTTTTACGTAGACCACTTGTTGAAGGTCACGAGATCTGTATGGCATTCCCCATTGTCCCCCACGAGACTTATAAAGGTGATGAATAAAGGAAAGAGGTGATGAATTCTATGGTACCGGCAACACACATAATAATAACGAGTTAAAATATCACTGCATTGTTCGAAGTAATATGTATTGTTACAAAAGTATTTTTATAAGGTGTGGAAAAAAGGTCAACCTTGTTACATACCCTATTAAACCTTTTAGTAACTTTATACAAATGCGAAGAACTACACGCGTTCGTAATTTAAGAAGGTAACGTAACCGTTGCCTCAAAGAAAATAATGGTGGTGCAAGATTTAAAAGCATTGAAATATAAATACAACTGAAACTAAAGAGCTGAAACTGCAGCGGGAACGAATTGTGATAGAAATAGTTTGTGTTGTATTTCCTTTTTATCTAATATGCTATTTTATCATCATATTTTTATAGGATAGGGTGACAAACGAGCACACAGTCCACCTAATAGTAAGTGGTTACTGTGACTCATAGACATCAACATCCACCCTCGATTACGAATCAAAATGCAGATGCGTTGTCACCCGTGAGGACTAAGTAGGATAGCCTCGTTTCCAGTAAAAAAGGTCGCCAGTTCTTTACACTCGCCATACGATACACAGCAGCTACCGCTACCATTTTACGCTGGTATTCTGTGAGAGCGTAGACCTTCCCCGGTCGAGCGGACCCATTCTTGCTACAACTATACTACTAATATAACTGCAGCATGGCTCTACCCCGTATGATATATAATATGGTTTATAAATTTTAAACAATGGCGAAGCGCTGTCGTCGCGCTAGCGAAACACATCGAAGCCTAAATCACGCTATCTACATTCATATACATACATATACATACACACACATATATATATATATATATATATATATATATATATATATATATATATATAGAACAGCTCCGAACTATACACGGAGTGTTGGCGGCTCCCCGGGCAGAACACCTTGCCCGGCGGGAGATCTCCCCTTTTCCTTCCACGGCCACAACAACAACTCTTATTATATTGTAAGGGTTGTAGTTGTAGCACGAATTGATCAGCTCGAGTGAGGTAGCCACGTTCTCACAGAATACCATGGTAAAACAGCGGCTTAACGCTGCTGTGATGAGTGTAGAAAACCGGAGACCCTTTCTACTGGAAACGAGACATTTTATCTTAGTCCTCAGGTGTGACAATGTATATGCATTTTGACTCCTAATTTAGGATAGATGGCATCATCCACTTGTCATCAAGTGGATTTTGTGTTCGTTTGTCAGACTCATTCTATAAAAATAAAAGATCTAAGTAGTCTTGTCACATTGCTTAGCATTATGTCACTGTTCAGTGTTCACATTAATTTTTTTTTAATTTTCATTGATGCTCATGAAAAAAATTTAAGACATGCTCCTGAGTGACCATAGCAATCGTATGTCGTGGAAAAATATTTTATGATAAAAATCAAGCAGGATGTTGTCACTACTCGCTGCCAATAAATATTTTATTTTTCAACTTTTATCACGTGTGTAGAGTTTAACTGTAGTAATATTTTTAAGCTTTAGATCAATGAAGTTGTAAAATAATAACTTCGAAATCGAAAACTAGACAATAAAACTGTGAATGAACTGAATCAAAACCGAGTCGGACTGCGGCGTTCCACGTAGATGACAAAATAAAAAACTTTGTATTATTGATCGGAGTGGTGGCTA